TACATGTTTTTAAAGTAAAATATTTGAGTGCTATGAATTTTTAAATTTGTATGTTAAGTATTGGCAGTTAAAATTCAAATGTTTTGGTCTCATTTTTGCCTCCATATATTCCCTCCCCAGTATCATCTGCTCACAGTGAAAAATATTTCCCTGTGTGTTCTGTTTTTGCCTTCCTTGGTGTTTGTGCTGTGTGAATATACGTGTGTGTGTGTGTGTGTGTGTGTGTGTGTGTGTGTGTAATGGTGGAAAAACTGGGTCATGTTTACGTTGCGCCTGTGTGGGTGATGAGCACCACTGAGCGTGCTTCAAACCTGCATCTCTAATTCTTGTTTTTCTAATGTTCCTTTTCCCATTGAATCTGCAGTCACCCCGTTCCCCCGAACATTTCCTCCCCTCATCTGGCTTCATGTCATGATTGCACCAGCTAACACCCCTATCTCTGCACATCTCCTCCCTCACCTTCCACACCTCCAGCCCTCGGCAACAGCGCGTACCATCCAGATTTAGTGAGTGCAGTGGAGTGCACATCTCCCCTCGCCTCCCCTCCCTCCCCCTCTCTTGATCTTGAATGACCATCGAGCGAGAAACAGACCACGGGCATGATCACTCTGAAATTTGGACTCAGCAGCTGCATACTTGCAGGATGTGTAAAGTAAATACTGGCCAGTTTAGTGTCTGCGTGTTCTGACACAGCAGTGAATACTGACAGCGTTACAGGGGAAATTCAAGGCCAGGCGCTGCGTGTTTTACAGCCAGCCTCCATTGATTTCCTGCAGCACTGAGAATCCATTAACCAAGAATAGTGCTGCTGCTCGCTTTGACTTTGCTTCAGCTTTTCTGTGTGTCTCTGAAGTAATGACGGCCAGTGAAGATATGTCCAACCTTTTGAACCTTGTACACTGACACGAATAATTTGCATTTGTATGTTTCAATTGAAACTGGCAGGAGACCCCTGCCAAGCTGCAGACCACTTGCAGATCACTCTTTGAGATAAACAACACCGCTTGTTTTTTAGGGATCTGTTGCTGTGTTTCCACCGGCTTTTAGGCCCCAAATGTGTGTGTTTTTAGGGACCCATCTGTTGTTTTCACAAACCTGGGTGTGTTTTTTTTGGGCAAACTGTGGCTCTTTCTTCAGTGACTATTCAGCCCCGAAACATGGGTGTTTTTTAAGGATCTGTTGCTGTGTTTCCAGCAGCTTTTTAGGCACCAAAAGTTGCTGTTTTGTTGGGATCCGTTACTGTTTTTTCCTGCAGCTGTTAAGCCCCTAAACATGGGTGTTTTTTAGCAAACTGTCGCTCTTTTTCCAGCGGCTTTTCAGTCTCGAAACATGGATGTTTTTTTGGGACCCGTCCCTGTTTTTCCTGCGGTTGTGTAGCCCCTAAATGTGTGGTTGTATTTAGTGACTCATCACTGTTTTTCCAGTAACTTTTCAGCACTGAAACATGGGTGTTTTTTACAGACCTGCTGCAGTTTTTCCCAGCGGCTTTTTATGCATCAAACATTTTTCCTGCAGCTGTTTAGCCCCCAAACGTAGATTTTTTTGGGACCCATCACTGAATTTCCTGCAGTTTTTAAGCCCCAAAACATGGGTGTTTTTTTTTTAAGGATCCGTTGCTGTTTTTCCAGCGGCTTTTTAGCCTCTAAATGTGCAGATGTTTTAGGGATCCATCGCCAATGTTCCTGAGGCTTTTTAGCCAACAAACATGGGTGTTGCGACCCATCACTGTTTTTTCAGCAGGGGTAGTGCCACGAAAGGTGTTATTCCAGCAACTTTTAAGTCACCAAAGGTCGGTATTTTTAGGGACCCATCTGTGTTTATCCAGCGGGTTCTCAGCCCATAAACATGGGTGTTTTTTAGGGATCTGTTGCTGTTTTTACAGCAGCTTATAAGGCGCTAAACGTGGGTGTTTTGTTGGCACCCGTCACTGTTTTTCCTGCAGTTTAGTACCTATATGTGGGTTTTTTTGGGGATCCATTGCTGATCTTTCTGCAGCTTTTTAGGCACCAAACATTGGTATTTTGTTGGGATCTGTTGCTGTTTTTCCTGCAGCTGTTTAACCCATAAACATAGGTTTTATCTGGGGAGCCATTGCTGATCTTCCTGCGGCTTTTTAGCCAACAAACATGGGTGTTTTTAAGTGATGTGTTGCTTTTTTTCCAGTGGCATTTTAGGCTCCAAAGATTTGTGTTTGTTGGGATCCGTTGCTGTTTTCTTGCAGCTGTTTAGCCCCTAAACATGTTTTTTTAGGGACCTATAGCTGATTTTCCTGCAGCTTTTTAGCCCCAGAACATGGGTGTTTTTTAGTGACCCATCACTGTTTTTCCAGCAGGGATGGTACCACAAGTATTTAAAGCCGAATGCGATCTTTTTCTAATGATAAACAAGTGTTTTTTGTGCCTGAACATTACCACACATTAACAACAGTGTTATATCATAATAATAATATGCATCATAATAATGTGCAAATTTAACCTATCTGTAGTTTGCAGAAATGTACAACTCCAAATTTTTCTCTTGTGATTGAGTCGTTGTTTTAGCCTTTCCAAAGCTAGTGAGGCTGTGTTGAACGCCGCACACTGACCCATGCACACACACACATGTGCCCTCATTGAGTAATTACTGGTCCCAGCTGTGGGACAGGGAGTGTGTTACAGTGAGATTATTGCAGCTGCAGAGAAAAAAGATTTAAGGTTATAGACCAATGTCAGGATACAATTGATTAAGGTCAGATAGTGTGAAATGGCACAACAGCAGTTATCGGACCTGCACGTTAAATCCAGCCTATTGGCACATGTGATCAATATCTGCAAAGCTAGTTATAGATCTGATTGATCAGGACATCCTGTGTGCGGTTAAGATAATGAAAACAGATAGATGAGATGGTGCTGGCTCTGTGTTGTGAGCTGATTGTAATATTTTAGTTGGTGAAATGAAATTTAACTCTTTTATTTGGTAACAGAGTCACAAGCTCTGGCAGTGGTTTTAGCAGACGGGCAGGAGAGCGGCTGAAAAAGCCAGGCGTGATCAGCTGTGAACTTTTTATCGGTTTTCACCAGATGTGTTCACTCAGTGCAGGATAAAGTCTGAGTGATGTTGCACAGGTGTAGAGATAATCTTTACTTCATGATCTTGCACCTTGCACCACCTGACAGCAGAAGGGAACCTGCCTGCTGAAGTTAGGGACCATTTTAAAAGTACATGTAGAATGGCCAAGAGAGCTTTTAAGATTTTTGTCAGTAGCTTTCACCAGAAAACAGACAATTTAGTTAAAGTGAAACTACATAGTTACCTTCATCTAAGGCACCAATGGGTTGGTAAATGCCTGTAAATAGTTGGTGCCATCAAGCAGGATGAACCACAGCTAGCTAGCCAGCTTTAGCGCTAAGTAAAAGTAAAATCATACGTTCTCCAAGGGGACTTTCACATCAGGGACCTAGGCCTGGACATGGACGTGGCGAAACATTTTAGCGTGCTCCTTCCACCATAAAACCTCAAAACGATCCTCCTTGGGTGTCTTGAACTCGACGTAGGCTGCCACCTCATCCTCAAGCTGCAAAGTTTCATCACTTGGGTCCTCCATGTCGGTGATGAATGTGACTTGTGTCATAGACTTTCAATGTAAAAGAAATTGCGGCTTGCATTTGTGCCCATGCCCCTGAATTGATATACATATTTTTTTACCCTTGTACCCAACCCCGTGCAGGACTCTGATTTCAGCTGTTACTCGCACACAGAACAAATCAATCCTTCCTAATATGAAAACGCCCCAAAACAGTGGACAGCCCACTGACCTCAGCTGCTAACCAAATTAGTCAGATTGCTCCTTTAATTCAGATTCAAATGATGCCCTCCTCAATTTCATCATGTGCAGTGCATTTTGTTGTGGATGATGGCGGGAGGGTCCTGTTAATTTTTTATTTTATTTTATTTTTGTGTGAAGCAGGAGACACTGTAATGTTAGAGGTATTTGTACCACCTTTGCCTCTCAGTGTGTCACACAGTGTCTGTGCATCTTCAGCTCACTGTGTTGATCTCAGCCAGCTCACGTCTCTACACTGAGTGTCAATGAAAGTGTGTGTGTGGAAGTGTATGTGTGTGTGTATGTGTGTGTGTGTGTGTGTGTGTGTGTGTGTGTTTGTGTAGAGGCTGGTGCGCACTGCTCACATGTGAACCCATGTGACCATGGCTGAAAGGATGGGGGGGGGGGGGGGGGGGGGGGGGGGGGGGGGGGGGGGGGGGGGGGGGGGGGGGGGGGGGGGGGGGGGGGGGGGGGGGGGGGGGGGGGGGCTTCATCCGACAGCAAAGACAGGATGTTTGCATTTTGTTTGTCCTCTCCTCTCTCTTTCATGCTGTTTTTATTTGTATTCATGAACATGCCCCTCACTACTTTGATAACTGAAGCACATTATGCTGCACGTGTTGTAAAAAGCCTTTGCATTAATTTCCCTGTAGCAGTGTGAGTGCTGTAACAAAATAAGGAGATCACTTGAACACAAAAAGCTGGCTCGATTAACTCCATAATGGTGTGTGTGAGCTGGATACAGTAATATTGTGAGCGGTGTGAGTGTGTGTGGAGTCCACAGGCAGATCTGAGGTGACTCAGTGAGGTAGTGACTGCGATTAAGCGCCCCTAAACGTAATTAACTGAGGTCATGAAAAAGTGAATGTTTCTGTTTATTCTCATTTATCTCGTCTTTTGTCGCCACTGTTCTCTAACTTTGCCTCCCTCTCATCTTGTTCCGCACTCTCTCCGCTCATTTCTTATCTGGGCTCAGAGGAGGCAGACAGGGATGGATGACTGAGGAAATTGAATTCTCCTTATCGCTGTTATGCCTCTGCAGTGAGCCATGCATTTGCACGTCTGCTCCTTCTGCACCTATACGTGCAGCTGCAGCATGCACATATTCATGCACACAGACACAGATACAGCACACGAACATGACAAACATGATCGCAGCCTCCTATGTTTACATGCATCTCTCTGTTTGTCTTCATAGCTGCCGAACAAGCAACAGGAAAAGTCTGATCCTGACCACCACCTCCCCCACGCTGCCTCGCCCACACTCCCCTCTTCCTCTCCCTGGACACCTCGGTACGTAGACTAACACATCACACCTCAGCTGTGATTATATGATCTTCATTTATTAACAGGAGACAGACGAACTTTTATAGCTTTCAAAATATTTATGCAAGAAAGAGTCACAGTTTCAAAGTGCTGTGCAATAAATTTTAACACATTTAAAACACAAGGAGACTGAAACAAACTAAAATGTCATAAAATGTCACCAAAGTCAAAGATTAAAGAATTAAAATCAATAGGACAGCAATTAAATAGAGCAAGCACACTAAGGCAGCCAAGTGCGGCCAAGCAGCTAACTTCTGCCAGCTGAAGGCCTAACTTTCGGTTTAGCCCCCTGCTGAGTTGAATAGAGATAAAATGATTTAATCTAGCAGCTCTTCTAGTCTTTCCAAATGATATCAGACCAAATGGAACAAATCCTGATAGTGACATAAGTCATTTCATGGACGTTGTGATGCTCAGAAAAATGTATCCACTGATTTACAGACGTCTCTTTCACAATAGAGTACCGAAGTCACGCCCCTTCCAGTGAAGCTCATGGGACCTTAGATCGGAAGAAATATGAATGGCAGTGAATGAGGAGAGCAATATTATCTTTTGGTCCCGTTTGAGTTGTGACATCAAATCCAAATATGTCGTTAATGAATTTAAAACATAAATTTTAAGGTCAAGAAAGTCATACTTTGTGGTAAAACTGTTGAGATATAAGCTTTTTAATTAGAAAGACTCGAGTACACAGGAGGCGGTCGCGTATGTGACATCATAGCTTTCACTCGCTGCCTGCAGCTTGGCCTCCCCACTGAAATTCCACTGTTTTGTGATTAATCGATTTATGATTGAAGATGTCTGTGTGTTTTGTGCCAGGTTGCAGTCACTCCAAGCTGCAGGAAGCGAGCAAAAACTATGACGTCACATACGTGACCGCCTCCTGTGTAGTTTTTCTAATTACGTTCTTTTCAAAAGCTTATATCTCAACAGTTTTACCAAAAAGTATGACTTTCTTGACCTTAAAATTTATGTTTTAAATTCATTAACAACATATTTAGATTTCATGTCACAACTCAAACGGGACCAAAAGATAATATTTCTCTCCCCATTCACTGCCATTCATATTTTTTCCGATCTAAGGTCCCATGAGCTTCACCGGAAGGGGCGTGACTTCGGCACTCTATGCAAGTCAGTGCTAAAAAGTCTTAATGGCTGCAGGGCATCATGTGACAGTGTTACAATGTTTGGCCACCAAGAAAATTGGCGTCAAAGCCTGGTGCACTTCCTGGGAGCATGATAATGTCTCTTCAGTTCTCGTACACTAACTGTTTCTCCTTTGTTTCCAGTCTTTATGCTAAGCTAAGCTAACAAGCTGCTGGCTGTAGCCTCACATTTACCAAACAGACATGAGAGTGGTATCTTCTCCTCAAACTCTCGACAACAGAGCAATAATAAAATATTTCCCAAAACCTCAAACTATTCCTTTAGTTAACTGAATGCTGCTGATTATAAAACAGAGTCACATGCAGAATGATTAACATCTTTGTTAATCCATAAGAAGCCACTTCTGTTTTGAGTGTCTGGATCTAAAGTTTTCAGCAGAGTTTTGACCTGATTTTGGAAGTGACCAGGACCTGACTAAGGTTCACTAATGTTGGGTGCCACATACTCTCAAATCCCAAAAAAGACAAAGAGATTGCGCAGGTTTTACATGGTCTTTACTTGGGCTGCTCGCTTAAATTAGCTTGGCTGAGTCATTCGTCTGTGAGAAAGCCCCTGATCACATCACTCAGTCCATTAATCAAAACACCCACATTACTGTCCACAGACCAAGGCAGAATAAATAAAAAGCTACAAAGCATTTGTTGGTCTAAAAATCAATGACAGGCCTTTATGATTTGTAAAAAAACTAAATCAATTTCACAGCCTTTTACCCCTGAAAACCCGACGCAGTGATTATGAGCAGTCACACTGTCGTATTGAACCACAGATCAGACAAGTCTGGGACAGCTTTACAGCCACACATCTCAGGGACAGAGAGGAAACTGTGGTAAGAAGGTTTAACGTGTGCTTAGTTTTCCTCTGCTCACAGAATAAATCTTCTTCTCTTCTCCCTCTCTTGTGTCTCATCCTCTGTTCATGTCTTGTTGTCCCACCAGGAAGCAGCCCCCTGGACAGCCCACGAAACTTCTCTCCCAGCAACCCTGCACACTTCTCCTTCGCCTCCTCCAGAAGGTCTTTGCTTCATATCCCTACATATGTTGAGCGTGGTCGCACATGTTGACTCTCACTTGTTTTTGTGCCGGAGACATGACAGGGACAGAACATGAGACAGGCGATGGGAGGGCAACAGAAGTCAGGTCAGCGTGAGACAAAGGCAGGAGAGGAGAGGGAACAAGTGAGCGTCAGAGGACAGAGGAGGTGTGGATCTGTTGTTGTGTGAGGTCTAACACATCCCGGGGAGCAGATAGCAACCTGCTGCACCCGCAGTGTAACAGGCTGACTCATGTATGACAGGGCCAAGCCATTACATTTGCAGTGTCTCTGTGTTTATTCACGCTGCTCTGGTGACACTCTGTGTGTTAGTGTGTGTGCTGACGGGTGGCCATGAACGTGTGTGTCTCTGCATGTTCATGTACTGAGTTTGGAGTAGAAGGTTTTTAGGTTGCTTTATAAATTAACAACACTACCCTGTTTACATACTGTTGTGTGCCTGTAGTCTGGAGCTGTTTTTTTGTGGCTTAGGCTTCTTAATTCCAATGAAGCACAATCGTAAAAGGATAGTTCAGATTTTTTTGAAGTGGGTTTCTTTGAGGTACTTATCCAGAGTCAGTATAAATGGAGGTTGCCAGTTGGTTGGAGAAGCAGGCAGGAGTACTGACATGGAAGCTGTACAGCTGTGGATGGGGGCAGCTTCAAAAATAAATTAAGCCACCCAAAAAGATTAATATCAGTTTAGGTGTACACTATATTTAGAATATTTTCACCACTTTACCTTGCTGTCAGGCAGCAATTTTAGACGTGGTACTGAAGCTTTTATCAATGCACTTTTCGACTGTCTCGGACTCCTTTGACTTGCTGTGTGACTTTTTTAATGGCCCAGACACACCAAACTATCAGCAAAGAGCTAGTGGTAATGAAGGTCGTCCCCTGTGCTTCGGCCAAAAAGTTGCACTTGAACACACTGCAGAGACTACAGCTGATGGCCAAAACGCACGTACATTATATGCCTGCATGAGAGGAAATCACTCTCTGTACCAGCAGGTGGTGGAAGTCTGTATTTGTCATTAAAAAAGGGAAACTAGAAGACTGATGGAACAGTTAGTTTTGAGCCATTTGTTTACTTTCCTCACTTCTGTTTTTTCTTCTCTCACACTGAGCTGGACTGCCAGTCACAGTGCTTTCACTCTCCAACAGGCTCCTCCATCTAAGACGCCATTTAAACATGCTGAATCACCCCCAAAAAATAGGGCGACAGATGCTGACTGATGGCCTAACATTGACCAACGGCAGACCATCAGCTTGGGGTGTCATGGCGTTTAGAGCAGTGGTTCCCCACTGGTCCAGATTTCTCCTCAAGGTCCACATAATTTAATATATTCAGCGTCATACTTGTGTTTGGCCATGTCGTTGAGCTAGTTTGCTGTCTCTGTCAAGTAGCTGTCAGTTAGTCACTCACTCTACAGCAGGAAACAGCCCTTCAAAATAAAAGCTCTGCACCAGAAATTCACCACACTTTAAAATAAAATGGGTTTTTTACAAACTTGACACGTTTTGAGTCACTTGCAGTCCATTCAAAATGGACCCACGACCTACCAGCTGGGAGCCACTGCTTTAGAGGATTAGTTTGGATTCACCAAAGTCACACAATAAGACAAACTAACTAACTGATGTAGGCAGTGGTAGGCCAGCAACCCCATTTTCTGCAAGGTACAATTACCATTTTTGTCAAAGGAGTCTGGTGGCTTTGACCAGAGTGTAATTAATGGCTTCAGTTCCCAGACAGGTAGGGCTGTCTGACAGCAAGGTAAAGCTGTGAAAATATTATAATACATATATCCACACTTCAACCTGATATTGATTTTTTTAGGTGGTTGAAATATGTTTTGCTACGGCTCCTGTCCACAACAGTACATTGCTTAGCTTCCATTGCAGTCTCCAGGTACGACAATATAGGTAGGTAATATATGGATAAGTATCTCATACAATGCCAATTTAAAACATCCGTGCTATCCTGTTAATGCTTCAGCATACTGATATTTTAGACATAAATGTTCCTCCATCTTTGTGACAACAGTTTGGGGAAGACCTTTTTACTGTTTCGACATGACAATGCCAATGTGAAGCCCTTATACCATATTTAAGGAATCCAAAGTGACTGCAGTCGTGGTCTGGCCGTGGTAGATTCATAAACAAAGGCGATCCTTCACTCTCATGCGTTCCATGTATGTAAGAAAGCCAATTAGACTGTTATTTACCTCTGTCTCTCCTCAGTCAGACACAGTGTTGGGAGTGTAAATCCTCTGTCCTCATTTATCAGATCCGTCTGCCTGCCTGTCACTGAGCGGGCGAGGCACACAGAAGCACAATGAATGAGTCCTCTGTGCTCTCCTCACTGAAAAAGGCCCCTGGGACGAACCAGAGGTGTTATAAGTCATTGGTCTGCTGAATGACATTTTATTAGTGCAGCTGAAATTATGTTGAAGGTTGTCAGATATATTATTTCACATCTAACAAAATACCCATTGGTATTTTAGTTCAACCCATTTCTTTCAGGCTCTGGAGTATTAAAGACAGTTAAAGCAATAGACTGTTTTCCCAGCAGACATTTTGACATGTCATAGTAGGAAAAGCACAGCTGTTTCTAATCACACTAACGATGGCTCTGCTCATTCAAGTGTCCTAGTGGGAGTGACTTTGAGCCAGCGTGCACAAATGGCATTCAGCCATCATTAATTTAATTATTTAGCCTATACCTGTGCTTTTCTTACTCTGATGTGTCAGAATATCCTCTGTGAACAGGGCCTATACAGCCAGTCTGACATGATCTGGATTTTATGACAAATGTATTCATCTCAGTGGGATTTTAAGGGATGTATTATTTGTATTCTCTGCAGAGCGGACGGACGACGATGGTCTTTAGCTTCTCTGCCCTCCTCTGGATATGGCACCAACACTCCCAGCTCAACGGTAAATGACTTCACTCTTAATTACTTAAGTAACTCAGAGAAATATAATGATTTTATTAAAAAAAAAATCATGTGTTACAGAGAAAAACAAACCTTCCAAAAAGATGTGCAAATTGCTGTGATGCTTATTTTTTCTTTATTTGAAATGAGCTGCTTGTCAACTTAAGTTCATTGAGAGGGCATGAAAACTAAAAATTGTCAGCTAAGAATAATCACGTAAACAAACAGTTGAAATATCTAAAACTAATGAATAGACGGTTGAAATAGTTAGCTTAAAGTAGTTAGCTAAAAAAAACCCAGCTAAAATATTAAGCTAAAAATAACAAAACAGTTGAATTTGTTAGCTAAAAGTAATGAAACTGATAAAATGGTTAGCTAAAAGTACAGAAACAGGTGAAAACTTTAGCTAAAAGTAATGACACATTTGAAATGGTCAGCTAAAACAAATGGATGAACAGTTGTAATAATTTGTTGTAAGTAACAAAACAATAAAAATAAAACTATTGGATAAATGGTTGAAATAAGCTAAAAGTAGTAGAATAGCTGGAACAGATAGAATAGTTAGCTAACAGTAGCTATGTTTCCATCAGAAAAAGATTCGAATCATTGGGAAATGCGCATTAAAACAAATATGAATCCTGTGTGTTTCCATTAAATGTACAGACTTTGCTGAAAACTACGAACTTGTGTGACTTTTCCGCAGAACCGGAAACAAAACAATTCTCTTATTCTTATTCCTCTACATTTCGAACATAACAGTTTCCATCCCCCGTTTTGCGAATCAACATTTTTTCGAATCAACCAAAACCTGGCTAAAGCGAGCGTATTTTTGTTTGTGCGAATCAGGGGATTTTTATTCGAATTTTGGTGTTTCCATCATAATTTTTCGATGCGATACTTCTAGATGTGCATCTAAACAGGCTGATGGAAACATGACTAGTGATGAAACTGTGATGAAAAAGTCAGCCCAAAATAATGAAACAGTTGCAATAGTTAGCTAAATCTGTTGGATAAATGGTTGAAAGATGTTTGCTTAACATAACAAAACAGTTTTAAAAGTTAGCTAAAAATAACAAAGCAGTTTTAATAGTAATGAAACAGCGTCAATATTTAGCTAACAGTTGTCACGAACCGGGCCACACGGCCATGACAAAGAGGGAGACACATACACAAGGAAAGCCAAAGCAGAGAGGGTCGTCACACAGTAATGAAACAGTTTTAATATTTAGCTAACAGTAATGAAACTGTTTTGATAGTTAGCTAACAGTAATGAAACTGTTTGGAAAAAGTCAGCCCAATATCATGAAACAGTTGCAATAGTTAGCTAAAACTATTGGTTGTAGTAGTTAGCTTAAAGTACAGACACAGTTTTTAGAGTTAGCATAAAGTAATGAAACTGTTAAAATAGTTAGCTAAAATTAATGTAACAGTTTTAATAGTCAGCTAAAAGCAATAAAACTGTTTTAATAGTTAGCAGAACGTAATGAAACCATTTTAATAGTTAGCTAAAAGCAATAACACTGTTTTAATAGTTAGCTAAAAGTAATGAAACAGCTAAATTGTTAGCTAAAAGTAACAAAAACAGTTAAAATAGTTCGCTAAAAGTAATAAAACTGTTTCAATAGTTAGCATGAAGTAATGAAACAGTTTTAATAGTTAGCTAAAAGCAATAAAACTGTTTTAATGGTTAGCTAAAAGTAGCGAAACTGTTAAATTGTTAGCTAAAAGTAACAAAACAGTTAAAATAGTTTGTTAAAAGTAATGAAACTGTTAAAATAGTTAGCATAAAGTAATGAAACAGTTTTGATAGTCAGCTAAAAGTAATAAAACTGTTTTAATAGTTAGCTAAAAGCAATACAACTGTTTTGATAGTTAGCTAAAAGTAATGATACTGTTAAATTGTTAGCTAAAAGTAACAAAACAGTTAAAATAGTTTGTAAAAAGTAATGAAACTGTTAAAATAGTTTGCAAGACGTAACAGATAATTGTCTGAAACCTCTAGCCTCTGCCACTCCAAGTGGCAGTAATACCAGTACAAACTTGACCTTGAACTGAAACACTGAGTTCAGTTGTAACAATATTCACTTTTAAATTCTTGGTAGTTTTGTAGTAACATTGAGTTTATATCCATGAGAACGTATTTGGAACATGCCTGCAGGTGTTGGTGTTGGAGTACGTAAGCTCTTCTGACTATGGGGGTATGTCAGACATTAAACATTGTAAATCACTGTCATAAATTACTGTAATTAGCACCAATCTTCAACAGAAAATCAGAGTAAGAAGTTGTTTCAGTCCTGGTGATGTTTCCTGGGGAAAGCAGCGCAAAAATGCTACTTACCAAGACGGTGAATAGAGAAATGAATCAGTACAGCCACCTACAGTAAAACTAGACATGAATGAAAGAGACAAAGAAAAATTGAGTCTCCAGTCTTGTTCCATCCACCCTTTTAAGTCTGACCGTTTTCAATTAGTCTGTCACTCGTGAATGATCAGGCATCGATCTTTGGGTTAGCAAAGTAAGTGGAGGAGGTCCACGTCTCATTGCTTTGATGAAGGCAAATGAGGAGGTGAGACAGATTGATGGGTCTGAACCGAGGTTTACTGGACACCTTCATTAACATTTAAACTCTCTGTTTGTCATTGGCGGTGTCCACAAGACTGCAGGTGCTGTAATAACTGATCTTTTTGTTGGTTCAGATGTTATATTCAGTAGATAAATAAGAGAGGCAGTCGGTGTTGATCACATGCTGCATTGTTGGCAATTAGTTGTCATGAATTTTCTGGCAGGTCTAACTCCACCCACTGTAATGTCCTTGTTTCCCTTCCTCATCTGCCAACTTCTCCCTCTCCCTCTCCCTCCTAATCCCCCCCACCCTCGTCTGCTTCCTCTTCCTCCTCCACCCTCTGCCTCCCCTCCTCTTCCTCTTCTCTCACTACAGTCCTCCAGCTCCTCTCAGGAGCGACTGCACCAGCTGCCCTTCCAGCCCACCATGGACGAGCTCCACTTCTTATCCAAGCACTTTGGCAGCACCGAGAGCATCACGGATGATGATGGGGGCCGCTGCTCTCCCCACATGCGCCCGCGCTCCCGCAGCCTCAGGTCAGCAGCAGCAGCACCACCCATGAGATTAAACAGCAGCTTCAGCTGCCCAAAAGCACTATCCTCTTTTTAAGAGCAGATTTAAAGGGGTTGCCCCTGCTTGCTTGTTATTGCTTTTATATAACCTCCTGAATTTTCCGGTTTTAAAGCTGACATGTCTGACCTACGCTTAAGATCTGATTAGCACTTGAACCAATAAATACAGAAGGTCAGCGCTGTGTGTTTGTCAAGACAAGCTCATCCTTAAAGTGATAAAGAAATAAGATATTAATTTTACAGATAAATAATTGAATCTATCATTAAAACCAGTAGCTTATGTGGGCTGATGTTAACACATTTTATAGATGTTGCCCTGTAACGGCCATTTTGCTGCCTTACTTTTACCTACTTGTGCGCTTATACATTGTGCTTTAGCTTTATCATTTTGTTTTGCAAAAGTTGCATGCACCTAGCTTTAAATAAGATGTAAAACTGATACTTCACCTCCCGTAATGCGAGCTGAGGTGACAGTTGTGGAAAAGAAGAAGTCAGAAAGTAAAAAAACCAACTCTGTAATGTGAGTTTCAAAGCAAGCTTTAGTTGCTAACAGTAGCTAATATTAGCTAGCATGAGTTATTGGTTATACCAGACCAAAAGAGGTGCAGCAGAAAAAACATGAATGTATCACAACCCTAACTAAAATGTAAATAGAAGCAGAATGCCGTAATTTGTAAATGTTTATGACCTCTTCTATTGAATACAGTCCAAACACAAGATATTAAATTCATTCGTTCATTCATTCATTCATTTTCTGCAACTGCTTATCCTGTTAGGGGCCAGAGGGGGGCTGGAGCTTATCCCAGCTGACACTGGGCGAGAGGCGGGGTTCACCCTGGACAGGTCACCAGCCTATCACAGGGCTGACACATAGAGACAGACAACCATTCACACTCACATTCACACCTACGGACAATTTAGAGTCACCAATTAACCTGCATGTCTTTGGACTGTGGGAGGAAGCTGGAGCACCTGGAGGAAACCCACGCTGACACAGGGAGAACATGCAAACTCCACACAAAAGGGCTGTCCCATCACTGGATTCGAATCAGTAACTGTCTTGCTGTGAAAAGTTGGTTGAAATATCTGTGAGTGAGGGTACCTTCAGACTTTTTGGTGCGCACCTGAGGGTGATTGCTGTGTTTTCACCTGCCCAAACGAAGAGGGCAGGTGTGAAAGCACCATTTGTCTATGAGCCAAGCTGGAAATTGTGGGCGGAGCCTGCAAGAGAAACGCTACTGCATACCGCGGAGGCTAGAAAACTTTTTCTGGGGCGTGTCTTGATATACATGAACTCTTAATGTTCTCATTTTATTGTTATTTACAACACAGAAAACAGTGTATAGCTAAATTTTCATTCCATGTTTTTCTGCCCCCACAGCCCAGGACGTTCCTCCTCCTGCTATGATAATGAGATAGTCATGATGAACCATGTGTACAAAGAGCGCTTTCCAAAGGTGAGACACACACACACACACACACACACAAAGTTACTTCATGATAAACATTATATTCCATAAAAATACTTACAACAGTGAGCACATCGAGCCTACAGAGCATTAATCTTTCAAGCCACAGTAACAGTCTAATCCCATCCAGTCAGGGCTCACATATTAGAGAAATAAAAAGGGAATATAATTTATGAGTGAGCATGTTCAAAGATTTGAGTTTAACAAATACACAGTAAACACAGTCGTAACCAAAACACAGACACAGTTTTAAAAACAGAGCCATGGGGGCTGCCAAACCATAGCAAACAAGATTACGTGGCTCTGCCGAGTCGCGATACGTTCACCCTGTCAGAGAGAATATTAAGTTTAGTCACTGCACTTAGAAATCCTGCCACAGCTACGAACAGTAAAATACAATTCTCCTCCTTTCACTCTCTCTGTGGTCTGAGGTTGTATCAAAAGGAAATAGGCTGATGGCTCCCACCGAGATAACATCAAGCTTTAGGAAATTGGACATTATAGTTTGAAGTTCATTCGAGGTAAAAGCTCTGGGGGCTTGTTCTCACACAAGTCAAATGGAAAAAATGAGGCCTCAGTGAAGTCATTGTAAAGCAGCAGCAGAGCCACACTGTTTGAGCCACAAATGAAATTTCTTTCTGAACTTTCTGTCACATACCTCTGAGTCTTCTTAAGAAATTCAATCTCTTTCTAAACTTAATCTGTCGCTTTTACTTTCACTCCCTGCTCTCACGTCTCTTTCTCTGCGCACATACTGCTCCTGTTCCCTGCTGCCCACCTTTCATCCTCCCCAAGGCCACGGCACAGATGGAGGGGAGGCTGGCCGAGTTCATCCAGGCTTTCTCTCCTGAAAATGTTCTTCCACTGGCCGATGGAGTCCTCAGCTTCATTCACCACCAGATCACTGAGCTGTCCAGAGACTGCCTGGCCAAGTCCCGAGAGGGCCTCATCACGTCTGTTTACTTCTTTGAGCTGCAGGAGAACCTGGAGAAGCTCCTTCAGGATGTGAGTTAGAAAAGATATAATGTCCACAAAATGTCCACTCGGTTTTATATATCCAAGTACTTCTATAAAAATGAACTGCTTGGCAACCAGACCAGGCCTCTAAAGCCCCGTTTTCACCCTTCAGACATGGTACCTAGACCCTAGTGTTTCCACCACAAACAGTCCTCTTAAATGTGGGTGGGGTTGTTGTCACTCACTGCTCCGTCCAGCACTCACTGTATTTCCTCCTTTATCAGTCTGCACCTGGTTTATCGTCCACAGAACGAGGCTGCACGCCCACATTTTCAGATCAAAACAGAACAGGCTGCAGTGAGAGTCTCTCTCCATGGGATATTTAAAAATAGCAGCTTTGTGCATTTAGTCCTTCTCAGGCAAGCTCAGGGGTTTAGTGTTGCTGGAGCCCACAGGAAGTGAGGATTAGAATATATGCAGTTCACATCAGTCGAAATTAATATATATAAACTCTTGAACATCCATTCATTACTAAAAGTGTGTGTCATATAAAAACTAAAGTGATGGTCAAAGTTGTCACAGTGAAATTTAAGGTGTGTTGATGGATTCACATCATCAACTCATGCATTGAGTAACATTACAAGTTAACGTTCCACCTTAAAAGTTGCCGGCAGTCGGCCCAGTGAATGAAGTTATTTTTTCTCAGACTCCAGCTGCTGTGAGAGGCAGCAAAACATCCTTTCATTTTATAGTTACAGTTTACTAATAAAACTCTCCACAGTATGAACAGTGGTTACATGAGCCTCAAAACCAGACACAACTCAGCCCTGAGCAGAGTGACCGTCCTCTACTGACCAATCAGACTGCAGTGTTCACAGCTCCACCTTCTAGTACCAGATCTGTGTGCTAGGTACCCCAACAGAGGGGGGACCAAACATGGGGACGCTAAGGAACGCTTCCACTGGTGCCATCCACAACTTTTCACAGTGAACACAGAAAAAAGCGTACCGGACTGAACTGTACCATACTGCTCGGTGGAACGGGGCTTGATTGAGACAGGCCTTTATTCGTCTAAATGTGTAGCTACACCGGGCTAGTAAAAGGGACTGATCATTAATTGGGACCAGGCTTTTATTTTAAGTTTTACATTAATTAAGGTTGACATAAAAATTTGCCATATTTTGAGAACTTTCCACAACTTTTGCCTCCTCTGTTAAAAGAAACGTCTCAAGGTAGGGAATCAGAAAAGTAGATATTTTGGTACTGGAACAAAAACTCAGGTATCATGATACCAAAAGCTTCAGATGATAGTAACTCTAATTTGCAATTATAGCAGGATAAATTAAAGCGCAGCGATAACAGACACAGAAACAGATCCATCTTTGGACATGTGATTGAGGTGATGTGATACTGTGGAAGGTTATTGATGGATAGATTCAGCTCGAGTCTTCTGATGCCATTCAGACTCATGATGCCTTTGGTGAGAGATTGAAACGGCAGCAGTAAACGGCAGCTAATTGAGCTCAGAGCAGATAACAGGTATCAGGCAATTTCATCAGCAACCTCATTCTGACGGCTTGATTAGATCGCGGTGATAACTCTGGGCTGCCTGGATGAAGTTTGATTGTATCTGCTGCCTTTTTAATGATCAGATATTCTCATATGTCACAGCTGTTTGAAGCCTTTGTCACTCTGTGTCTCGTTTTGTCTCTCGTTTTACTGACTGCAGTGGCATGGCTGTATGTTAGTGTTGTGTTAGAGAAGTCCTAATGTGAATCTCTTCTCTGACTCTCTGTCTCTCTCTCTATCAGGCCTTCGAGCGCTCAGAAAGCTCCGAGGTAGCCTTCGTCACAGAGTTGGCGAAGAAGCTTCTCATCATCATCTCCCGACCTGCCAGGCTTCTGGAGTGTCTGGTAAGATAACATCCTATCCCGCAGCAATGCTCACAATCCTCATCCCGCCCCACCCTTCATCCCAGAATGTTCCACAGCTCACGTCCCTCTTGTGATTTTAAGACAAATTGATTTTCTTTAGATAAACATGGGCACAGAGACCCATTTGTTGCCCATTAAAAGCATTTAAGTGGTCTGATATGTTACACAGTGGGGGCAGAAAATCTAAACAAGCTAACGTTGAAGTAAAAGAGCCGGCCTGGTCTGTCTGTGTGGAGAATACATTTGCATTTAGATTAAAATTTGCCCTGCCACAGTTCGACTTATACCAGGCAGCGACCCCCCACTGCTGGGCCGCCTTCCAGTCTGACTCAGACAGACCGTGACCATGGTGTCATTTAAAGTTGGAGTATGTCTATATGTGTGTGTGTCTGTATGTGTGTGTCTGTCTGTCTAGCTGCCTGTTTTTCTGGGTTACTGTGTTTTATAACAGTCTTGTGTCCCACTCAATGAGTCACGCCACTCTGATGTGGTTTTTGATGATGAGCGACAGCTGAAACAGTGACATGAAGAATTGATTCGTCGATGTCATTCCACCCTCATTTTCTGCATATCGCTGCTGATGGATTACCGTGTGTGTGTGTGTGTGTGTGTGTGTGAGATCTTTTGCATGTTTTTGACATCGTTAGTAACCATATTTGGATCAGCTGCCAGGAGCTGCAGCAGCAGTACAATCAGTGAAACCTCTGCAATACATCAAGTCAAGTTACAGCCCTGACTCCTGGAAACAACATTTATATACAACTAATTTGAAACAGCGAATACGTTTTTAGGGAAACCTAATGCATAGTGAGGAAATTGATATTTAACATACCTGGCGAGTCGCAAAAATGTTGCCATTGAACTTATCAGCCAAATTCTCACTGAAAACGTATTTCAGTTGTTTTCCGCCAAAATGGGTAATCATGCAATACAGTTTCCACTCGTTGGGACCGCAGCATTATTGTTTAATTACATTTCTTATTAGGGCTGTACCCAAATATTCGGACATTCGAATATTCGTTTCTGTGGGTAGGTATTCGTTATGAAATTTTGGTATTCGATATTGGTTTTATTTACTTTTTTTTTAATTATTATTATTGTTTACATATTTTTTTGGTGCTAAATGTAGTCTTTTTGTTGTTGGTAAATGTAGGTTATCAATAAAAATCAAAACTTTTAAACTGCATTGTAAAAAATGTGAAAATATAGTATAGCCTATCAACTGAGCTTGTGCGCACGGCAGGCTTGAGCGCATCCGTCTGAGGCTGTGGATCAATGCCACGTTTTACCACTTTATCACTATTCCCTCTAACTTGTAGCTGTTTTTTCGTTATCTTTTGAATTTAATATGAATTATGGAACCGTTTTTGTCAACGTTTGTTTCCCCCGTTTTGTACAATAAATTATTGTTTAAAGTTTCAACAAGTTTCTTTTGGAGTGCGTGACACAAGTGTGTTTTGAAAACGGCCGCGGACTGTCACCTGCTCAACACATCAGTACCTTCGGATGCCATGACAGTAATAGCCAATAATGTCAAAATATCATTTACAGACCGATTTAACAGACGATCACTGCTGCCCGACCCGCAGGTCCATTTGCGGGTCCCGCGGGTTACGAGTCGACCCGCGCATCACTACTCAGCTCAGTCTATAAAGGCTGTACACAACAGTAAGGCTATAGACATGATATTCTATTCAGGCCGGCAGAACCAGCAGCACATCGGCTCTACAGTGCACGGCACTGCTGATTAACCATGTTATTGCAGCACAGAGTGTCTGCCAGCAACCAATTACTTGCAGAGGCTTCCTACAACTTGTTTCAGCGGTTCCGATTTAATCAGAAGACAAATTAAACAGGATGACTAGCCAATGTGAAAATCAAAAGAAAGCATAGACTAATGTACTGAAGGAGACTGTTGTGCCGTCACATTTTTTTGTGGTTTGAGAGCAAAGATCCGGTCGCCGCTGTGCAAAACTCCGCAATACAATTAGGTCCGAAAAAAACCCGGAGTCCTGAATGGGATTTGCCAATTGGTTGCATAGAAAGGAATCATGTGATCTATGAGCTTCCATCAGTCAGCTGCTCCGTCTGTTCACTGGGCTGTTTGAGATCAGCTGATGTAGCTGGGATGTGAGCTGAGCTTGACACCGTGTCCTGCCTGAACGAATGCTACGCTCAATTTGGGGTGTTTGGGGTCTGCACTTTGTACACCTGCCATCTTCCTTGTGATGCCTGTGCAGCACATGACATGTCTCATTTCTTAGCATGTGCTGTTTTGTGTCAGCAACTTTCAGAAAACATGAACAGAAGGCTCTGTTTGTGTCTCTTTACGTATCTAACGTTGAGCATAAATGAGCCTTAAGAAGAGACAGAGGAACGTGATGTCTTTCTCAGATGATCTGTCTTATGTCCCTCTGTGTGGACACAGTGACAGTTTCAGCAAACATGTCAAAAAGTTATTTAACGGTTACAAACTACAGCTTTAATTCATGTTGTATGTTAAAACAGAACCTTGTAAACTTTAATTGAAAACAGTCCAGAGTTTTGCCTGTCCTGAGGCTGAGCAGACTGCAGTGATGGTGTCTTCCAGAAACAAATCTTGGAGCTGCTCCAGAGAGTCAGTGAATCATCCATCAACTGCTAAAAGCAGCCGCAGTGGCTTCACTCGGATATGGAAACATTCTCTGATTTACATTTTAAACCAGCTTTACCTGGAAGCAATGTCTCAAACACAAATTCAATCATCCCACAGAGTCCTATTTAATGTCGTTAGTTCAATGTTTAATGGAGCAGCTTCAAAAATGTTCCACCTGATGACATCATGTTCATGTCTCGATGCTCTGGTTTGCAGGAGTTTAACCCCGAGGAGTTCTACCATCTGCTGGAGGCCGCGGAGGATCACGCCAAGGAGGGTCACCTGATGAAAACGGACATTCCTCGTTACATCATCAGCCAGCTGGGGCTGACTAGAGACCCTATTGAAGGTGAGGGAGAGACGCAGAAACACACAGATTTAACTTCTCAGAAAATGAACTGACAGCTGATTTTAACGGACATATTTTCCTCATCAGAGATGGTAAACCTCGACAGTTACGACAGTGAGGGACCGCTGACACCTGAAACAGATGACTCAGCAGAGGTGAGATCTGAGCTTCTCCAACGCTCAGTCCAACCCCACATTCACCCACCCTTTTTATTTTTTAATTTATGCAGAGCGACAGTTTAAAGTCCGCCCTGCCAAGGTCCTTGTTGCTCCTGTAGAAAATGTCTGCCTCATCTCCGAATGACTTGGCATACATGCTCTTATCCATCTAATTTAGCTTATTTATGCTGAGGTACAAAAAACAGGATACCCCCCTCCCTAAATCTACAGGCCTTCCCCCCAGCATTAGGCACGCCTCCAACTGTCAAAATTAAGCTAAGCAGACAAAAAGAGGAGAGGAGAGGGAGCGGGGATGTAGACCAGACCTGGAGACGCCTCTCTGTTATATCTGTTATATCTCTGTATGTTGGGTTTAATGTGCATGCCTCAGTGGCAACGGGAATTTTTCACCCTTGTTAAAAAATAAAATTAAAGCTGGGGTGGGCAGAAATACAGCCTCCTCCTGCAGCTCCCCCTCTCCTGTCTTAAGCCCCTCCCACCAGACAAACACGGGCATATGCACAAGCTTCATACAGTAACCCAGTGTTTCCCATACATTGATTTATTCAATCTTATTTCATTGTAGAGCTGCACCCAGCCCCTCTTTGCCCCACTCTCTGTTTATCAGACCACAAATGAGACAAGAATTTGCTGCTAGCTGCCCCACGGTCCGTCCACCTCACTCCCCTCCACTGTGGACAGCTTCCTCAGGATGAAATCAGGCAGCAGCTTGGGAGACAGACCTTCGGGCAGCGACTGTACTGGCTTAAATTCGGCCAACGCAAACCCCACCCCAAGTGTCAGCAGGCTTGTGGACAGCAGCAGTGGCGCTTCTAACCTGTGTAATGGCTGCAACACATCTGACAGGAAGTTGGGATTGTCCAGTCCACTGGAACTTGGGTTTGTGCTGGCTGGATTTGGGTTGCTGTGGCAGACTGGGGGTCAGTCTCTGGAGCTGCTGCCTGGTCCCCTCCCGGTGAGGTGGTCTGTAGCAATGGGGGGTGAGGCAGGGGATTTACTGTGATTTGAGGCTCTAACTAGTGTTAGCTACATTAACATGAAGCCACAGTTGTGAGCCTTTGGCTCCAGTTAGCAGAAGGCTAAACTATTAGCCACATTTTCTCTCCATCTCTGAAATGCTTTGTCGATATTGACACGTTTTATTTTATTTATTGTCAAAATCTCTTTTTGATAAGTCTGTCTTCCTTTTTACGGTTGCTTTGCAGTGTAGGTAGTTTAAACCGATGCTGGAGGAGCAACTTTCTCTGCAGGACTCTCTCTCTGTCAGCTTTCACATTACGCACGCACGTCTGCATTTGTAGAACAGCCAATAGGAACACCCTCCTTCTGAAATGACCTGTGATTGACCAAAGTCTCCTGTCACGAGCTAGATCTTCTAAAGCCTAAAACAGAGCCGAGAGGAGCTGTAGAAGTTTAGTTTTGTCTTGGTGTACTTAAACTACAGTGTGCTCAAAGTTTATTTGGGGATTTTAACCCAGTGACACAAAAAATAAATTTCCTACCCCAGCTCTAATGATTCATGTCATGTTGGTTTGATCAGTTTGACACTGGATCATTGTTCATCACAGCATTATGTTCATCGATCCACAGGGTAAGATTAAAGCAATGAAACCACCAGGAGAAGCAGACTTCCAGACCATCAAGCTGATCAGTAACGGAGCGTACGGGTGAGTGGAGCTGTAGGGCGAACTTCTGTAAATCAGGCATGCACACAAATGTTTTTTTTTTACATCAGCAGAGTAGCCACATAGTAAGACATAATACGTGCCTCTGTGTGTGTAATACAGCGCTGTGTACCTGGTGCGTCATCTGGAGACACGCCAGCGATTTGCTATGAAGAAGATCAATAAGCAGAACCTGATCCTGAGGAACCAGATCCAGCAGGCCTTTGTGGAGAGAGACATCCTCACCTTCGCAGAGAATCCCTTTGTCGTCTCCATGTTCTGCTCCTTCGAAACCCGTCGGCACCTCTGCATGGTCATGGAGTATGTAGAAGGTAAGAATATCCATGTGTGTGTCAAGTGGTGAGAAAAATGTTGTTGGGTGGATATTCTGCCCTTGTCTACACCTCCAGGTGTTCTGTGTTAAGTTAAGTTTCTTGTCAGCATTTCAACTTTTTGAGTTAGTATATTTATACCATGGTCGGGGTTAAATCCCCAGTTCTGATTGGCTGCAGGCTGTCCATCAATTCCCAATATTGCAGCAGGTGAGTGTAGGACCCAAAAGAAGCACCAATGACAGGCAGGACAGTTTATAATAGACTTTAATGCACCGCTTTGATAAATACAAAGTGAGCAAACGGATGAAACAACTGGGAAAGTCAGTGTCCAGGTTCAGTGCCCTGTGAGAGGCAGATTCAGTCCAGGGCTCTTGGCGTGGAGCGCCAAAGCCGAAAACAGTTCAGTAGTGTGCAACGGTACCATGAGGGAGTAGGGAATCCAGAACCAGGAGTACACATGAGAGCAGCCAACACACTTGTGTGGAGCCGACTGTAGCCAGGGTGGGTCTTGCCAGTAGTGATGATGAGCTGGCAGAATGTGCAGCCACACAGAGAAGCAATCCATAGCACAGGAAACCACAGGCAGATGAACAGGTAAACTCACTATGGAGAGCTGAGTGACGGTCTCTCCAAACAGCCAAAGGGAACAGGTGAACAGAAACCAGGAAAGCAGAAGCAGATCTCTTGGTCGGGCCAGAAGGCTGAGTGGTTTACCAGGGAGCAGGTGAAGCAGGAGAGTCAGAGGCAGGCGAGGTCGGCAACGAGGAAGCAGTCAGGATAATGATTGTTCCAGGTATTACTCAGACCCTCAGGTGGTACCAGGGAAAATTAGTTGTGGCTTGTGGAAAACATTCTTTCATTCATCCCGCTTATCCTGTTGGGGGTCGTGGGGGGGCTGGAGCCTATTCCAGCTGACATTGGGCGAGAGGCAGGGTTCACCCTGGACAGGTCACCAGACTATCACAGGGCTGACACATAGAGACAGACAACCATTCACACTCACATTCACACCTACGGACAATTTAGAGTCACCAATTAACCTGCATGTCTTTGGACTGTGGGAGGAAGCTGGAGCACCTGGAGGAAACCCACGCTGACACAGGGAGAACATGCAAACTCCACACAGAAGGGCTCCCCAGTCCCGGGGTTCAAACCCCCCACCCAGGGTTCAAATCAGTAATCCTCTTGATGTGAGGCATCAGTGCTAACCACTGCACCCCGAGGTGTCCATGATCTGCAGAGACCTCCACTGCACGTGGAGTGGTTCTTGTCTCCCCGTCTTCCATTAATTCTTCCATTCCTTTCTTGCCTTAAACATAAGAATTAAGTGGAAAAAAAAACAACAAAGGATTTTCTATATTTTAAGCCGAGGCAATCGTTGAGCTTCCACCTCCTCCACACTGATCACACTGTAAATTATTAATATATAGTATGGGTGTTGGACACCAGCATGGCTGTAGACTCAGAAGTCATTCCCGTAGCCACAACACCAGCACTGCAAAAATCTAATAGCAGTGCGTTCTTATTATAGGTCTGCCCCACAGGTAATTGAATGGTCTGACCCTTTTCATAGGCTGTCATACATTTTCCGTAGGTGAACATTCTCTGAATGCCAGGTGAAAGTGAAATGCATAATAATGTGCCAGGTATCCTTCAGCGTACGATGCAGAATGACTCATGTCGGCACCGTCAGCAGAGTCCACAGAGTTAAAGCCACACAGATTGCATGATTGTTGTGTGTCTAAATGGAAACTAAAATGGTCTCTGGGACAAAAGGTAGCAGGAGACATTTGTGGTAATTGCTAATGTCAGCAGCAGGACTAATCAAATAATGAATTGTGCTGGCAGGTGGAGACTGTGCTACTCTGCTGAAGAACATTGGGGCTCTGCCTGTGGAAATGGCACGCATGTACTTTGCAGAGACCGTCCTTGCACTGGAGTACTTACACAACTATGGCATCGTACACCGTGACCTCAAGCCTGACAAGTAAGACAGAGTCAGTTTGCATGAAAATGTTGCAAAGAGATTGTCACAATACATTACTAAACACTTGCTATTTCATTGCTCTTTCATGAGAGTATAAATAAACGTTTCTGTTCTCAGCCTCCTGATTACCTCGATGGGCCACATCAAGCTCACAGACTTCGGTCTTTCTAAGATGGGTCTGATGAGTCTGACCACCAACTTGTATGAAGGACACATAGAGAAGGACACTCGGGAGTTCCTGGATAAACAGGTACGATGAGCCAAAGTTTACACAGACATAGAGAATTTATTGAGTTAAGGCTGGGCTCTATAGAGAAAATCAAATATCACAATATTTTTTGCCTATTACCTTGAGATCAGTTCTGCACTGATACTGCAGGGTTGACTATGGGTGCTTTCACAAAGTATTTACTGGGGCTGCCCCTGACTAAGAATTTTCCTATTCGACCAACAGTCATCATTTAGGGCCATTAGTCGACTAGTCGCCCGCATGTTTCTGATATGAATGTAATGATTAAATGATATATTTTGGTGGTTTGAGTTGAAGGTGTGAGAAAGAATAGTATCACTAACACTGTTAACACTGTGCTACATTACAGAGAAATACAAAACCGTACTAATGAACCTTCATTAATATAGGCCTATATTTTATCTCCAAGTGCACGTCACACACTGAGCGAGCCGCCTGTTAATGACGCTGTGGGCTAATGGGCATGTAGCTACTTCCATGTTTCAGATGATACGTCATGTTTGTAGTCGACCAATGAAGATGAGTTTACATATCACCTTGGGTTCGTCCTTCACCTTCTCAAAATGATCCCACACTTTGGATTTCCTGCCCTACATGTTATTAACTAGCCTGTGGAATAACCGCAGGTACCAGCCCTGGAAATTAACCTGACTCCTGTCTGACTGCTGAGCGTGGACACTTCCTGTGTCTGTCCTTTCAAATTATCTGCAACTAAGCGACCAATGAAATTTTGTCGACTAATGACCTTTGTAGTCAACTAACATTTGGTCGAATATTAGGGAGCAGCCCTATTTAAAAAAAAAAAAAGAGAGAGAGAGAGAGAGAGAGTTGTTTTCTCACGATAAGTGATCTTGATATCACAAGAAATCATCCTTTTGTTATCTCAAGAATCAACATAAATCAACTTATCACAATAAATGAGCTTTGTTATCTTAAGATAATGAAATAATTATCTTGTGATCCCGAAATAATGGCATTAAAAAAATAACTGCAAGCACGGCCCTTCTTGGCCTCCATACATCTGCAGTTTGACTGTAAACTGTGTCTTTTCAGTCGTACTGCAGTGCAGACTCTTTAACTACAGTATGATCCAAGTAAAGTTGAGATATGAAATGTCCTTTGATGTCTTCATCTCTATGCAAAGATATTCCCCGTCATTGTGAGCCAGGCATATCTGAAGCATGAAAAAAGCAGTTGGCAGAACAATAGGCAGTATTTCCTCGGTTATTATCATCATTTCTCTTTCAGGTGAGGTTTATTTTCTCAAGCCTTTCATGCAGTGCTCATGATTTGAATCTGGGCCTCATTATTTCTTGTGTATGCATTGTGGTGGCCAGAAATCTGTTAGCATTCAGTGCATACCCATCTGCACATGAAAACCCTCAGTGAGGCTTTCATCTTGTCTTGGCATCCCTGAAGTGATCTGCTCAGCCGGGGAGAAATATGCATGCTCCATACACATGTGCCTCTCAGGCAGGGTCAAATTATGTATAGTGTACGATTTAAATTTCATGAAGATCTGGTGTAGAATAATCTGATCTGAGTATACATGTATTTCAAAAACAAAGTACATTTATGTGAGGCTTACATTAAGTGTCTGTACGCAGGACAGGGTTTCATGTAAGTCACAGGACTTGGAGCGATAAGTAACACCTGATGAAATTAAGTGTCACTGTTTCTCCTTCAGGTGTGTGGAACTCCCGAGTACATTGCTCCGGAGGTTATTCTTCGCCAAGGCTATGGGAAGCCGGTGGACTGGTGGGCTATGGGCATCATCCTGTATGAGTTCCTGGTGGGCTGTGTGCCTTTCTTTGGAGACACTCCAGAGGAGCTGTTCGGACAGGTCATCACAGGTGAGGGGTCAAAGCTCTGAGCTGGACGAGTACACGTCTTCACCAAAAATGTGTTACCTCATATCATCCTCTCTCTGTCTGCTGTATCTGGTAGATGACATAGTGTGGCCTGAAGGGGAAGAGGCTCTTCCTGTCGATGCCCAGAACCTGATCTCCTCCCTTCTGCAGACAAATCCACTGGTTCGACTGGGAACAGGTCTGTCTGATAGATTAGTGGTTCACTACTTTAAGTTATGGTCATTTTCCACTGTTGTCCCTGGTCTCTATTTTCACTTAGACCTGTAGTTCACTATTTTCTTTTGTGTTTCATTTTGGTTTAGTTGGGGTGCATTACCTATTTCAACCATATTCCATTTACTTTTAGATACTTATTCCAAAAATTAATTAATTAGCCCGGCTATTAGCTATTGAAAATATAAGCTCTAAGCTTATATTCTCTATATAGAAAAATAAATGCTCTAAGCTCTTACTCTAAGCTAACTTTTTTTACCAGTTAGCAGTAACTTTGAGGTAACGATTCCAACCATTTATCTTTTACTTTAAGCTAAGTATTTCAACCATTTATCCACGAGGCCTACTTTTAGCTATCTAAAATGTAATCTTTACTTTACCTAACTATTTTAGCCATTTATCCATTGCTTTTAGCTTCTCAACCACTACCTTTTACTTTTAGCTAACTATTTTAGCCATTTAGCCATCACTTTTAGCTAACTATTTTAACCATTTATCCATTACTTTTAGCTTCTCAACCATTTATCTTTTACATTTAGCTAACTATTTTAGCCATTTATCCATCACTTTTAACTATTTTAGCCATGTAGCCATCACTTTTAGCTAACTATTTTAGCCATTTAGCCATCACTTTTAGCTTCTCAACCATTTATCTTTTACTTTTACCTAACTTTTAGCTAACTATTTTAGCCATTTAGCCATCACTTTTAGCTAACTATTTTAACTATTTATCCATTACTTTTAGCTTCTCAATCATTTATCGTTTACTTTTAGCTAACTATTAGCCATCATTTTTAGCTACCTATTTTAGCCATTTAGCCATCACTTTTAGCTAACTATTTTAGCCATCACTTTTAGCTAACTATTTTAACGATTTATCCATTACTTTTAGCTTCTCAACCATTTATCTTTTACTTTTAGCTAACTATTTTAGCCATCACTTTTAGCTAACTTTTTTAGCCATTTATCCATTACTTTTAGCTTCTCAACCATTTATCTTTAACTTTTAGCGAACTATTTTAGCGATCACTTTTAGCTAACTATTTTAACTATTTATCCACTACTTTTAGCTTCTCAACCATTTATCTTTTACTTTTAGCTAACTTTTAGCTAACTATTTTAGCCATTTAGCCATCACTTTTAGCTAACCATTTTAACCATTTATCCATTACTTTAAGCTTCTCAACCATTTATCTTTTACTTTTAGCTAACTTTTAGCTAACTATTTTAGCCATCACTTTTAGCTAACTATTTCAACCATTTATCCATTACTTTTAACTTTTTAAACCATTTATCTTTTACTTTTAGCTAACTATTTTAGCCATTTATCCATTACTTTTAGCTTTTTCGACCATTTATTTTTTGCTTATGGCTAACTCTTTTGACTACATAGCCACTTTTAGCTAACTATTTCAACCATTAATCTATTAGGCTACTTTCAGCTATTTAAAATGTAATTTCTACATTTAGCAAACTATTTTAACCATTTAGCCATAAATATTTCAGCTATTTATCCATTACTTTTAGCCTTTTCAACCATTTATTTAAGTAGCTAATTATTTCAACCATTTATCAATTACTTTTATCTTACTATTTCAAACATGTATCTTTTACTTGTAGCTAGGTATTGCAACAATTAATGTATTACTTTAAGCTAACTTTGTAGACTTCTCTCTTCACTTGTTAACTAGATTTCATGCACATTAATCTCAAAGCATGGTGTTATGGTGTCACAGTTGACTCAATATATCGATAAATTTTTCTTTTACATCCTAATTTTGTATTTTCCATGTTAGCTGAGCTACTTCACAATCTTCCCACCTTCCCCCAGGCAAGTTCTCCATGATGGGGTACGTGTATCCCTGGTTGGAAATCACTGACCTAGAACACAAAGTGTCGTCCTGCCTGTAGCCTCACAGATTCAGTTTACGCAAATAAGTCAACTTTAACTGAGTTAAAGTTGCTCTGCTTGCTTTAGGGCTGCAGTCATTACCTGTCTGTCTTTGTCTCCCCCTCTGTCCCCCTCCTCTCCCATCCTCGACCCAGTAGGTGGTGCGTTTGAAGTGAGGCAGCACTCGTTCTTCACAGAGGTGAATTGGAACAGCCTGCTGAGACAGAAGGCAGAGTTCATTCCTCACCTGGAGTCTGAGGAAGACACCAGTTATTTTGACAGTAAGTCCGCTGCCGGGGACTCCAGGTACAGACCACAGGTCACTTTGAGTTAAGGAAAATTGTATTCATCAAAACAGCTCAGGGTCTTCTGAGTCATCACCATCGTGGTCACAACACCCTCCGCCCACCATGTTACCATGACTGCTAATGTTGAAGAGTTTGCAGCTTTTAATGTAGACTGATTTCTGAGCACACATGGATTTCTTTTGTCTCATATGGGCTAATGTCAGTAGCTGATAATCTGAGAACAGAGAGAAAATGAATGCCACCGTTCACTGAATATTTGCCAGATGTAAAGCTACGATATCTTGTCACCTTTCCACCAGCCCGATCTGAGCGCTACCATCATGTGCATTCATACGATGAGGACGACACCAACGATGACGAGCCCGTGGAGATACATCGCTTCTCATCCTGCTCCCCTCGCTTCAGCAAGGTCAGACCGCAAAGTCAGATTAAAGTTTGCCTCCTGCTTCTCTTTTTTTTCTTCAGGTCTGAAGTGTTTAAAATGATAATGGTTATTTTTCAGTCCACAAAATTCAGTCTGTCTTTATTGTGTGGGCCTGCAGGTGTACAGCAGTATGGAGCAGCTGTCCCAGCTGGAGCATAAAGTCCCTGGCGTGACTCTACGGGAGCACAAGGTCCCCAGGGAGGATCGAGTGGCCAAGAGAGAAAGTCTGGGGAGCCTCACCCTCAGGGACAAGAGCTGGAGGACTGGATCGCCTGAGATGTGAGTGCAGCCGTCCACATAAAATAGTGAAGAATTAAATGTTCATGGTCAAATAAAGTTAGAGGGTTTGTTTAAGGGATACGTGACCAAACAACACAATGAAAGACAGGTTTTTTTTGTCTATCTGGCCAGAAAGTCTTCGTGTGTTCAATGTAAAAAAACGAGACTCATCAAGTATAACTTCACACCAAAGTACACCTACTTTGCTTTTTCAGGAAGCGCTTATCCTGCTCTGAGTCCTCCTTTATGGAGAGCGACTCCAGCCCACCGTCTGGAGCCCGAAGACGCTTCTCCGCCCTCATGGACACACACCGCCTGGCCTCCCCCCTGGAGGTTGACTCTGAGCTGCCTGTCCCCAGCAGGCAGCCTGCAGTGAAGGCCAGAGGGACGTCCCTGGAGGGAGCCATGGCTGCCATCGCCTCTCAAGGGGATCTGAAAACACTCCTTAAAGACAGCAACGGGGTCGCAACTGGAGGTGAGAAGGGATGAGGAAGCATGATGTCACTTGTCTTGTGATAGTAAACCTGTATTTGATCATAATTTATGACAAGACTGTAATTTACTGTTGGATTTCATGTCACAGACAAGCTGTTGAGACCTGCTGATGCATCGTTGCCTCTACCAGGCACTGCTTCTGTTCTGGGGCTTCCAGACCCACAGGGTCCCCGCGGGGCCACCACTGACCTGGTGCTGCGGAGGGTTCGCCACCAGCAGCTCTCAGCTGAAGGAGAGAAACGCAGCTCACGGCCAGGATCCAAAGTTATTAAATCTGCTTCTGCTACTGCTCTGTCTGTCATCATTCCTGCAGGTGAACATGCTGGTTATTTTACATCAGCAAATAAAGTGTAAAAAACATATTTAAAATGTAACGCTGTGATGTAACCTGAGCTTCATCCCTCTCTCCTCAGTGGAGCAACACGTTGCCTCCCCGCTGGCGAGCCCCATGTCTCCTCGCTCCCTCTCGTCCAATCCTTCGTCGCGTGACTCTTCTCCCAGCAGAGACTACTCTCCCATGGTCAACGTCCTGCATTCTCCAATCACCATCCACCGCTCGGGGAAGAAGTACGGCTTCACTCTGCGAGCCATCAGAGTCTACATGGGGGACAGTGATGTTTACAGTGTACATCACATGGTCTGGGTGAGAAAGCAGAGCTGATAATTATCTCTTTTATACAGCAAATTTCATACATACAAACCAGCTCAATATGCTTTAAATCAGGTTGTAGAAAAACATCTGAAACATGTAGAATAACAGACAGAAACATTAAAATATGTTAAATTGTGTTCATTTTTTCCTTTTGGCTCCCATGAGAGCTTTAACATGCAGATAAACAGCTTTGTATCAACACCTAAATCTGTTTAATTGAGTCCTTTGTTCTAATCACAGCATGTGGAGGAAGGCGGTCCCGCCCAGGAAGCTGGACTTAACGCTGGTGACCTCATCACTCACGTAAACGGGGAGTCAGTCCACGGTCTGGTTCATACAGAGGTGGTGGAGCTCATCCTGAAGGTGAGCACAACCTAACATACATGTTAAGATTTTTATACGATGGCTGAAATAGAATTTCTCTATAAATGATTTGATTCATATAAATATATGTTTATAATCTACAGAGTGGAAACAAGGTGACAGTTACAACAACTCCATTTGAGAACACCTCTATAAAAGTGGGTCCTGCCCGCAAGTCCAGCTATAAATCCAAGATGGCACGACGCAGCAAGAGAGCCGGAGCCAAGGAGGGACAAGAGTGCGTTACTGCAAAATAAATGCATTTCATCACAAGAATACAGAATCTTAAATGTTTTATTCTCACCATATTATTACTTTGTCTTTTCAGGAAGAAGCGCAGCTCCCTGTTCAGGAAAATCACCAAGCAGTCCAACCTGCTCCACACCAGCCGGAGCCTCTCCTCTTTAAATCGCTCTCTTTCATCTGGTGACAGTCTCCCAGGCTCCCCCACCCACAGCCTCTCCGCCCGCTCACCCACTCAGAGTTACCGCTCCGCTCTGACTGAATCCACCTACCTGGGTTAGTATGTAGGGCCTGGAATATGCATGTGTCTGTTTTTATGTGGTTTAGCTGTCTGGTAGGCCTTAAAACTGTAACTTAATACAGATAATATATTTAAAAGAACACAAAACGGAGGATATTTTATCTTCTGTGTGTATTTGATGTTTTGCTTTTAAATCATAACTTAAAAGAACGTTTCTGACAACTGGTAGTTCTATGGATCAATGTTTTTTCATGAGCGTGTGGCAGTGCACTTCCCATCATGCTGTTGGTTTGACAATATTCTGATGATCAACATTTGGTGGCAGCAATGGGCCAACAAATGTAGCACCACACCAACAAAAACAGGGAGGAGGAAGAAGACTGCTAGCACATACATGTGGCTGTAAACATGTAAACATTTGGCGCCAAAAAAAGCCTGTGGAAGCACACTGAGAGGTTGCTACAAAACACCCACATTTAGAGCCTAATACGTTTGGAGCCTAAAAGCCAACTGAAACGCAGTGACAGGTCACTACAAAACAAGCTAGTTTGGAGCCTAAAAAGCCGATGGAAACACACCAACAGGTGGCTACAAAATACTAAAGTTTGGTGACTAAGGAGCCGATAGAAATACACTGACAGGTTGCTACAAAACCTCCACTTTGCAGCCTAAAAAGCCAACTGAAATGCAGTGACGGGTTGCTTCAAAATACCCTTATATGGAGCCTACAAAACAGAAGGAAACACACCAACCTGTAGCTACAAAACCACCCATACCAGGAACCTAAAAAGCTAATGCAAACACACAGATGAGTTGCAACCAAACACCAACATCTGGTGCCTAAAAAGTCTATGGAAACACACCAACAGGTTGCTACAAAACACCCATGTTTGCAGCCTAATATGTTTAGAGCCTTAAAGCCAACTGAAACACACTGACAAGTCGCTACAAAACAAACTAGTTTGGAGCCTAAAAATTTTTATTTGGTTATTATTTGGTTTCTAGGAGAGTATAAATATTTAAAAAGTATAACAAAGAGATTAAAACAGCAGATTTTACCATAAAATTTTTAATTCTTGATAGAACAGAAATACAGTGTTGACATAATGTGATTGTAATGTCTAAATCCTCTCCTCTCCTCAGGCACCTCCTCCCAGAGCAGCTCTCCAGCATCCAGCACTCCCAACTCCCCCGCAGCCTCTCACCACATGAGGCCCAGCTCCCTGCACGGCCTGTCCCCCAAACTCCACCGCCAGTACCGCTCTGCACGCTGCAAATCTGCCGGCAACATCCCTCTGTCTCCCCTGGCTCACACCCCCTCCCCCACCACCTCCTCTCCCCCGCCTCTCTCCGGCCACACAGTCGGAAGCTCCAACACCACACAGATGTTTCCCGCCAAGCTGCACTCCTCGCCTCCTGTCGCCCGCCCTCGTCCCAAAAGTGCAGAGCCGCCCAGGTCCCCCCTGCTGCAGCGGGTGCAGTCGGCAGAAAAGCTAGGGGCTCCGATGCTGCCTTCCTCGTCTTCATCATCATCGTCACCCTCTCCTCTGACAGGCGGGGTGTCGTTACGCAAGCATAGCCTGGAGGTGTCGCACGGGGACTACAGGAGAGAGTCCTTCCACTGTGAGCACAGCCTGCAAAGTCTGCTGGAGATGGAAGGAGAGAATGGACCTGCTCCCCCGTCTCCTTCATCATCCTCCTCCCCCTCTCCCCCCATGGGAGGGGAGATTGGAGGTTTGAAGCCAGTACGGAAGCTGGGGAGGCAGGAGTCACCACTGAGCCGCGACACTCTGCTCACATCAAGAGAGAAGGATACCCAGACCACAGCGTCTGAGCTCAGCGGGTCGCAAACCCAGAGCCTCGTTACTAAAGCTGAGTCCAAGAGCGATGTTGTTGATAAGGCTTTAACCTCTGCTGAGGTTCTGAAGAATAACGTGAGTCCAGCTCTGGTTTCATCCAGTACAGAGGCCAAGCCCTGCCCAGGAGACAAACCTCAGAAAGTAAGTACTTCAGCTTCTGAGGCGACTGTCTCCAAGAGTAAACTCAGTGAGAAAATGTCATCAAAGAGCCCGCAACAACAAGACGGTAAGCAGCAGGGTGCACAGACAGACAGCGCACCTGCAACTAAAGCTCAGGAGAAGATTGAGGAGAAGGTGAAAGGCACTGCAGCGACAGAGAAAGGAAGCGTACAGAAAGTATCTGCAGAGTCAAAGCCACGTAAAGGCGCAGAGACCGCAGAGAAAGGAGGCGTAGATAAAGCAACTGAGACGACCAAAGTCAAAGGACCGGCGCCCCCGGTTCCCACCCAGGCTCAAACCCACTCTGCAGCTCATGCGCCCGCACCCACTGCTGCCAGATCCAAAATCGAGAAAGTATCGCACAGTTACCGCGGGGTCAAGGAAGAGAGGGCGCACCTGGAGGTCCTGGAAGAGAACCCCATATCACCCTCCTCTAACGCAGCCTCGCCCTGCTCGAGCAAGTCTCGCCCGATGTCTCCGGGGGATAAAGCCAGCTTCGTCACCCAGCTCACGAGCGTGGCCAAAACAGTGCTCGGGCCAATGAAGGTGGGGTCACAAGAGGCCGCCAAGGGTAAAGACACCTCCAAGTCAGGTGAGGAGAGGCGAGGAAACACAGCAGGAAAACCAGAGGCTTCGTCCGGTGGCGGCCGACGGGGCGCTCCAACTGCAGCGGCTGGCACAGTCCACTCTGATAAAGGGAACAGTCGCAGCTCCAAGCATCACTCGTGATGAGAATGAGTCAGACTCTCCCATGTAATGCCTTTTACTGTAGCATCACACTGACATATCATGAATTAACATGACTGTGAACGGAGGGGAGATGTAAATGCCTGAAGAAATAACACCAAATAGATGACAACGTGACATGTAGACACGCGAGATGTGAACATCCACCATGTTGGAATATGTGCACACATGGTATCATAATGTAGGCCCGTGTATGTACTGTATGTTCAATGTGTTGTATATAGGAGAAAAAAATGCATATGTCTTAATGCATGTCCGACACTGTACATGGAAAATGAAAGAATATTTAAAAAGATGAGAAATATAAAGCAGACCTTAAGGTGGTGAACACTGTGAACAACTTTTCAACAGGCAAACTGTGTGTAAACAAGCAGGTTTCTGTTATGAATGGGCATTACTTGCATTTCAGATCAGCTCCAGTGCCATCGTTCAGTTCACTTCAAATTGTACTTCCTGTGTTTTGGTTACTAAAAGAGTTCAGGCTCGTAAAAAGTCGTCAAGAATACAAACATACTGAAAACTGGACCAAGAGCCCAGTCGACAGAATAAATGCTGGCACTGTACGTTTCTGCAAGTCATTATGTAGTGGAACTTTCATTTCAACAACGTTTTGGCTAATGTTTGTTCAGATTTAGGCACAAAAACCACTTGATTATGTTTAGATAATGGCTAAAAATAGCTTTGGTGGCACAATCCCAGCTGCACACGTGATGTCTTGTTAAAAAAACACCTTGTCATGCCACAATCCCTGCAGGAAGCACACCGACACGTTGTTACAAAACACCCATGTTTGGAGCCCATTAAGTTTAAAGCCTAAAAAGCCAAATAAAACACAGTGACAGGTTGCTACAAAACACCCTCGTTTGGAGTGTTAAAAGCTGATGGGAACACACCGACAGTTAGCTACAAATCGCCCATGTTTAAAGCCTTATACGTTTGGAGCTTAAAAAGCTAATGGAAACACACTGACAGGTAATTTCAAAACACCCTTGTATTTCTTGCCTAAAAAGCCAAAGGAAACACTCTGACCGGTTGCTACAAATCACCAACATTTGGAGCCTTAAAAGCCAATTGAAACACAGCAACAGGTCACTACAAAACACCCATGTTTGGCGCCAAAAAAACGGATTGAAACACATTGACAGGTCGCTACAAGCACCCACATTTACGTTTGCAGCCTAAAAGCCAATTGAAACACAGCAACAGTCATAAAAACCAACAGAACACAGCGACAGGTTGCTACAAAACACCCATGTTTGGAGCCTAAAAAGCTGATGGAAACACAGCGAGAGGTTGCTACCAAACACTCAAACATTTGGAGCTTAAAGAACCAATGGAAACACAGCGAGAGGTTGCTACCAAACACTCAAACATTTGGAGCTTAAAGAACCAATGGAAACACAGCAAGAGGTTGCTACCAAACATCTCCTTATAGAGCCTAAAAAGCCAATTGAAACACAGTAACAGGTCGCTACAAAACACCCTCGTTTGGAGCCTAAAAGCCGATGGAAACAGACTGATAGGTAGCTACAAAACACTCATGTTTAGAGCCTGAAAAGCCAATTGAAACACAGATGTAGGTCCCTACTAAACACCCTTGTTTGGACCCTAAAAAGCTAAATGAAAGACATTGACAAGTTGCTACAAAACACACAAACATTTGGTGACTGCAAAGCTGATGGACTCACACTGACAGTAGCTACAAAACACAGTTTGGAGCCTAATACACCGCTGGAAACACAGTATTGACTTGCTAAAACTTGTTGTTTGTTGGTCTTGTGGAGTGGTCTGCAGCTTGGCAGGCACATCACCGAGGTGTCATGCCATCCACCAATTCATGTTGATATACATATGAAACCTATAAATATATTGGTAGTTTGCAGAAACATACAGTGCCAACATTTCCTTCTGGTGACCGGGCTGCCAAGAGACCAAAATGCTTGCACTGATGGAATTCGGTGAATCAGCTGACGTGCTTCAGATCTGTTAAAGGGCTGAATCTGAGTGGAATAGAAAGAGGTAGATTAGACGAACATGCACAGGGACACTATGCAATGTGCTAATAATGCCACTTTTCTTTTGTCTGTTTGTTTTTGGTGTCCCCAGTTACTGAGTTTACATTGTGCTCCAGGCAGGAAGAGAAGACGGAGGAAAGCGTTGCAATAAGCCGAGCAAACACATTTTGTTTTAAATGTCGTCTCCACTGATCGTAGTGAAATGTGCAATTGTATAGTTAAGGCTGTTAAGTGAAAACTTCACCTGCAGAATCACCATGTGTTGATCAGTTACTCTCCTTGTGCTACCTTGACTTCGTGAAGAAAACCTCTGCCTATGAGCTTAAGCAGAGTTCAAACACATGCATGAGACTGAACTGACGTGTTTTAAATAGTGAGGTTTGCACGTGTTGCACGTGTTTGGGAAACGCTGAGGATGTGACCGGATAAATGAGACTCGGATTGTACTGCATGAGTTCGATGAAAGAAACAGATGGTTTGATTTAGTTTTGCTGTTGTTAAACAGGGTCTGTGTTCACTTCAGTTCATGCAAGAAAAAGAAAGTTTTCTTCAGGAATTCAAGGTTATCATGCAGTGTTGGTTTTGTCTGCAATTTTTCATTTTTAAGTAATTCAAGCCATGACTAAATTAAAATTAGCTAAATTAAATCGGGCAGCGAGGTGGCGTAATGGTTAGCACGAGGGTTCCTGGTTTGAACCCAGGGTGGGGGAGCCCTTCTGTGCAGAGTTTGCATGTTCTCCCCATGTCAGCGTGGGTTTTCTCCAGGTGCTCGGATGTGTGCACCAAAACAACCAGGCTGAGACCTTCTTGAAGAGGTGGTTTCAGTCTGGTTACAAACAAACTCTGGTGCAGTTCGTTTGTGGTGAGAAGGTGTTCCGATGAGCAGCGCTAAAATCAACCTGCGTAGTTGTCCCTCCATTGTGACATTAGAAAGTGTCACATTTATCTTGCAAGTGAACTCTTCTTCAACATTTGCTTTACTTCCTGGATTTTTCCCACATGGAAATTCTGACCAATCAAGAGCAGCTTTCTCACACAAGGCATTTGATCTGGTCCTCTTGTAAATGCTGCCGTGAGGACACGAACCAACTCTAGGCAATTATACAACTTTGGAACAACATGAGTCCCTGATTCAGACCAAAGGAGACCACTCTAGGGCTGAAAGCACCTTAAATATCAAGCAATTAGGGCCTCGAATTTGGAGCTACGCCTCTGGCAGTGAGTCACAGATATACAAATGGTCATTTTGCAGGTGAAGACTTCCTTTAAGTGAATTGTGTGGTGTGTTCAGAGTCCAGTGAGGAGACAGAGTGTGTAAAGAAACATAATGAAAGTCGCACTTATAGGAGAGTCATCTAGAAACGCTCCTTCACTCACTCTTTTCTATTTATGCAGATGTATATTGTGTAATGTTTCGTGTGAAGGAAAGTGCCAGTCTTTTTATTTCTTTAGAGATGATGTGATTTTTCTCTTTAATTTTTTTTTTTTTTTGTTTACACTTCAATGTATAAAATTATGCAATCCAACAGTGCCCAGTTTCATAAATGGAGCACCCTTGTCAGTGACACAGTAGTAGACTCTACACAAAGGCAGGAGTAGATGTGTTGGTGAGGTCTGGTTTGTTTGTGTGTTACAAAGAAATGATGTCGATAGTTTTGGGAGGCTCAGACTTGTCTCAGACTGCCACCTTGTGGACGATGTCAGGTCACACCAAAAGTCCTGAGGCACAAAGAAAGAGGTGTACATTTCATACATTATTCTGATGCATCATTTCAGTCAGTTTACAGTCTGAGTTTAAAGTCTTTATTTAATCCATTAGGCTGTAGAGGTCAGCGGACGTTAACCCAACCTTTGGATCTTTGTTTTTTGTGTGTGACGTGAAAAAATTGCACTTTATTTTGTGTCAAATATTTTTATTTACTGGTGTTATATATTTATTTGATAATTTTTCTATTTGTTCTATTGATTGAACTTTTTTAATTTATTTATTCGAGCGTTTTTACGTCATCAGTTGGTGAATTTCTGCTTTACTACTGAGGTTAGTGATTTATACATTTTACATTTAGTCTAAGAACCCGACCAAATCTGTGTGGCTCCCCTGTCGTGTGCGGCTCATCCCATGTGTCTGACGTTGTGATTATTGCTGTCATGTCCATCTTTGTCCAAGTGTTTGACTTTTCTTTTTTTACAGCGACAACTTTCTCTGACTGTTGTTGTCCTTTACATCGCTTCATATTAATTAACCACTGTTGTGAGAAAACCAATGCAAAAAAGCTTGTAGAGCAGAGATGTAATAAAATGCAGAGAAACTCCTCAATGTGTCTTTTATGTTGTTTGAGATACAACAATAACATGATGGGTATAAACTGGTTCAGAATCAGCACCATTATGTTGCCACTTTACTTTTTTGGAAAACTTTTACTCAGACGTGTGGTCTCGAGTCACATGACTTGGACTTGAGTCAGACTTGAGTCACAAGTTTGACTTTAGACTCGACTAAATCAAAAAAGACTCACAATTTGAATTGAACTTTAACACCAGTGACTCGTGACTTCACTTGGACTTGAACCTTTTGACTTAAAAATACTTGATACCTTCCCTCAAACTCAAAGATTAAAAAACATGTTTTAAAAAGTGTGATTCAATTAATTTCCCTTCATTGAATCATCATTAACACTTTTCATTCCCAGCAAGCTGACACTTGGCTCCCCAGATCCACTAACAGCATCCAATCAAGTTGCAGGAGAGAACCAAGAAGAAAATATACCAAAGATAATTTTGTTTGCATACAACAACCATGTGGTAATTTAAGTTTGCAAAATGTGCGGATTGAAAACTGCAGAAACTCAGTAACCACCAACTTTGTTTGACATTTGAAGTTGCACAAAGAGCAGACAGTGGTGTAAGGAAGTTACAACGGGCCCCAGTGCACACTACTGTGTACGTATTGTTTGGACACAAACAGAGACTCGACACTGGACAACATCAATGTACATATTACCCAGCAGTCATCACTGCGTATCTGATAAAAATATCAAAGAAAGTAAGAAAATAATCATTGAAATTTACTGTTTTATGGTTTATTTATAGATTTTAAAGCTGATATAGAGAAAGCATATGATTTTATTTTAGATACCCACTGACTATTAAAAAACAAAATTAAAAACCATGACACAGACTGGTTTGCACTTTTGAGGACATATATAGCAAATGGCACCGTTTTTAAATTAATAATAGTCTTTTTTAAAAAATGATTTATCCTTGAATAAAGGTATGTTTCCAAGGTGGCAATCTAAATCATTTGCAAGGGCCCACTCTCTCTAGTTAACAGGCTGGTGCTAATTAACATAAGCTTAACAGCTATGTAACTTTTTAACAAACAAACTTGTTTTAACAAACTTAAATCTGAAAAAAAGAAAATCAGGATTTTTGTAAAATTACAAATATGTCACTAAAATGGCGGTACATTTGGTGACAAGTGCACTATGACTTGTTCAGGACTCGATACTCAAAGTTTAGGACTTGGTTCTCTTCGGTGTGAACTTGGGACTTGAGTGCAAAGACTTGAGACTTACTTGTGACTTGCAAAACAATGTAATAGTAGTAGTAGTTGTAGCAGTAGTGTTGTGTTGATGCAGTAATGTGTTTAATGTTGCAGATCAATAAATAAAGTCGTATTTGAATTTATAATAATAATTCATAATTTATCAATTAATAATCTTAATCTGCAGGGTATCTACAGCTGTCAGGTAAATGTAAAGACTATATTAACCTCTAAAATGCGGCGGAATAAAAGTATAAAGCAGCAGAAAGTGTAAATGCTCAGTAAATTCCTACAGTACCTGAACTTCCCGGAGGATTACCAGTCCTCACTGTGATTGGTCCTCTCATAACCAATCAGAGCGCAGCAGACACGTGACCAGTATAAACAGGAAGTGTCCCGCTGCTCCGTCCGTTGAGCAGCGAGCGGAGATTATTTGACACAAACCAAAGGAAAACAGCCGAGCAGCTTCAGACATGTTCACCTAATGACGTGTTTTTAATTAAAGACGAGAGGACGATGAACGAGTGAAGGTAATACATTCATTTCATGTTTTAATACGTTATTAAATCCTCGGAGTTTAGCTGCGAGCGGACGGACTGTGAAGTTGAAGCGCTGAAGTTAGAAATAGTTCGGTGACAGTTTCAACCAAAACATTTTCACACCTCGTGTTATATTTAATTTGTAGTTTCTTATAATTGTGGTTGTCAGATGTTCAGTTTATGTTTTTTGTTTTTTTCACTGTCACGTAACTGCGTTGTAAACTAACAGATGTTTGTATTGGAGGGTTAGTGAGGGTGAACAGGGTCATACTGGTTGTGACACACTGCACATAACACTTAGACAAACTATAACTAAGTATATTTACTCAAATATTGTACTTTTTTAAAGGTACTTTACTCGAGTGTTTCCATTTTATACTACTTCATACTCCTAACATTACTCCACCACATTTTAAAGGCAACTGTTGAACTTTTTATTCCACTAAAATGTATCTGATGGCTTTAATTACTTCGCACATTTAGATTATTAAAACAATATATAAATGTACTAATGAATTAAGATATGTTATTATGGGTTAAGCCTCCCAGTAGGATATAAAGTAGTTGATATTAGCATCACCTTAACCAGCTACAACATCAAAGTGTTATGGTGTTAATGCTTCAGTAATTATAGTCCAGTAATGTACATATACAGTGTCATGCAAAAGTTTGGGCACCCCTGGGCAAAATGTCAAAATATTGACTTAACTACTGTGAGTAATTAAGTAAGTAGAAGATCAACTGATCTCCAAAAGTTATGAAGTTATAGATGACACATTTCTTCAATGTTTCAAGCAAGATTACTTTTTAATTTCAATCGTTTACAGTTTCTAAAATAACAAAAAATTGAAAGGGCCTGGAGCAAAAGTTTGGGCACCCTGCATAAACACTTTTTGTATCCAGCTCAGAGTCTTTCAGTTCTTGTTTGAACGATTTTCTTCTAGCTCTGTGAGATTCTTGGGTCGTCTTCATGCTCTGCTTCTTAAGGTCTATCCACTGATTTTAAATGATGTTTAGGTCAGGGGACTGTGAGGGCCATGGCAAAACCTTCAGCTTGCTCCTTTTGAGGTCGTCCATTGTAGATTTGGAGGCGTGTTTAGGATCATTGTCCTGTTGTAGAAGCCATCCTCTCTTCAGCTTCAGTTTTTGATGTGATGTTTGCTTCCAGAATTTGCTGGAATTTAACAGAATCCATTCTTCCCTCTACCTGTGAAATGTTCCCCGTGCCACTGGCTGCAACACAAGCCCAAAGCATGATCCATCCTTCCGTTTTTTTGCTCATTGCATCCAAAAAGTTCTATTTTAACTTCATCGGTCCACAGGACTTATTTCCAAAAAGCATCAGGCTTGTTCAGATGTTCCTTTGCAAACTTCTGATGCTGAATGTTGTGGTGAGGACACAGGAAAGGTTTTCTTCTACTGATGACTCTTCCATGAAGGTCATACCTGTCCAGGTGTGGCAGCACAGTAGAACAGTGCACCACCACTCCAGAGTCTGATAAATCTTCCTGCAGGTCTTTTGCAGACAAACAGGACTTTTGATTTGTCTTTCTAACAATCCTACGAGCAGCTCTCTCACAAAGTTTTCTTGGTCTTCCAGACCTCAGCTTGACCTCCACAGTTTCTGTTAACTGCCATTTCTTAATGACATGATGAACTGAGGA